TTAAAGAGTTCCAGACCATGGACACACTTAAGTTGTTTAAAAAGGTTATAAAACAAACAGCTAACTGATACTCTTTCAGTGGGATGCAGTTTTACCTGTTACTCTCAGAATGTTATGTTAGATTTGCTGAATATATATTTCCTTTTGTGTACCAAAAAAATTCATGAGTTTCAGGATGTGACCTGGATCTGGCATAGCTCAAAAGGATTGCAGATGAGATTTTTCCCTGATCTTTCCCATTTAATAGACAAATTTTAACTTCTGTCTTCAGTCTGAATTTGTCTCCGCAGATTTTCACCTGTTTAACTCTATATTCCAGGATCAGCTGTGGACTGCAAGCTGAAATCTGGACTTCCAGGAAACTGACATGATTGCTCCCTGCCTCTTCGGGTGGATCAACTAACCAGATGCTTGAGACTGCCCCATTGTCCAGCCTTTGACTGGCATTTCACCCTCCCTAGCCCCTTATGCCAACGGTCTAATGGTCAGCACTGAAGAAGCTCCAGAAGATGGATCTTCGCCCAAATCCCCCCTAGCAGGCTGAAATGCTAAGTCAAAAGGGGCTGGCTCCCTGGCATTAGCTATTATCTTGGGCATCTGCTTAGCTGAAATGGAAATTAATATTGCAGCAACTGGGCTAAAAGCCTAGAAAGAACCCACCGCTTCGGCGGTGAGGGGGTATGGGCCCAAGCTGCAGCTTGTAATTTACAATAAAAAAGAACCTCATGTATTTACAGCGGAATCTGTTTATTCCTGGTCTTTTGGGGTTCGTGAACTGGGCAGAATAAAACCAGGTTGAATCACACACACAGCATGCTGCAAAAATACAACCCTGAATTTTATATATATATAAAAGATCCATAAAGACATTATAAAAGACCTGATAAATTTTTAAATGTTTCATAGCCTTAAACATAGTTTAAAAAGAAATCTGTTTTGGCAATATCAAAATGAAGTACCCTTTTCAGGAATGAAGTCACAAAGCATAACCATAATTTTAAAAGTCAAGCCAAATTTTACCAGTGTAAGCAATTCAGTCTCTAAAATCAATACCAATTTAAAATGAGACTTGCCTTCTTAGTTTAAAAGGAGATGGGATGATAAACAGAATTCATTACAACTAAGAGATTCTGGGGGAAAAAAAATTTTTTTTTGTTTTTTTTGCCCTGTGCCACACTATGTGGCAATTTCAAGATGGTGGAGTCACAGCTCAGGACAGGCCACATGGTTGCTATTTTAGAACATTTGTGTTTGTGCAGACGTTATAAGGACATGTGCACACATATATATGTTCTAAAGAGGATTTTGAATTTAAACTTTAAACATATCCAGTAACTGTTAGTCTATAAAAAACATACATATTAACCATTTAAGATCAGTCAGAAATAAACATGTAAAGGCCACACATACATTTAAAACAGACAGACAAAACTTTCCTTCCTTCCTCCAGCTGTAATCTCAAGCATTTTGTCATCTGTTGAATCTACGGAGGAGTTGGGGACTTGCTTGCAGTGTTTCCTGGGGCGCGGGATCACGCAGCCATCCCTTGGCGTGTCTCCTCGCCTCTGCCCTCTCATGCTGACTCCTGGAGAAGAAGTGGGTACCACCACCATTTTTCTCTCCCGGAGGCCAGGCTTGTACATCTACAGCCATTGTTGCTGGCCTGCCTGCTTTCCCAGCAGGCTTTTCCCACCCACAGCTAATGGCTAGAGTGAAAGATCCCCGGAGGGTATCTTCCGTCTGAGAGACCCCCTCCCAAGGAACAAGGAGTCCATTCGGATGCAAACAGCAAGAGGCTTTTATTTTGATACACGAGTACTCGGGGCGAAAGTCACTCGAAAGGACTTTGCGCGCCCCCTAAATGGGAAGCTGGGGTTTTTATAGGGTTTTAGAGCAGAAGCACTGGTACAGAAGCGAGAAGCATGGTTACAGGGGGCTGATTGGTACGTTTACATGAGACCACGGTTTGCGTCAAAGTTTGGCAGGGACACCAAGATTGACCACCCCTTAACGTGGCCACCTGTTATTTTGTTTTTCCCTATCTCAGCTGGAACAACCTCTGATAGATATCCCATGAGGGTAGTCACAACAAGTTGTTTTTAACTCAACAGGGGCAGCCTGACCACAGATATCCCAAGTGGGTGACACAGCTAGGATTTCTCAGTAATTTTCCAGTTTCTCATCTGGCCTTCAGAGTTTTAAAACAGTGGTGTCTCACAAAATGGCGTTAGCTATGTTTAACTTAGGGTGAGGCAGGGGTCTTTCAAGAAGAGCAGAGTTTGTGGACCAAGGCTCGAGCAGTCCTGCCAGGGACCTGTGGCTTGTGCCTGAGCCACCAAGACCCATGGCTCTGTTGGCCTAGAAGTAAACTCGAGTTTTACCCATGGTTAAATTAATTCAAGAAGACCCACCATAAAACATGACAAGAACAAGGACAAGGACACTCACGAACAGACACCGACATTCCCAGGGAAAACTTGGTCTACCAGAGAATTGTGGAGGTACCGTTCACTGCATCCAGAACCAAAGAACCAATTTGAAAGTTGCCAGGCTCTCCCCAAAATTAAAACCAATGAGAACTGAGGTTCTCCCGAAGAGCTGGCAAGAATGTCTTCTGCACCTTGGGCTGGGGGATTTACAGGACATTCGCCAATCCCAAGGACCAGTTCCAATTTCTTTTGCAAAAGGAAAACAAAACCAAGAAAGTAGACACCAGAAACAAGAACACAGACACGAAGAAACACAAAACATAAACCATTATCTCTGAGACACAGACAGACGTGGACAGACAGGGACTGATAGGAACAGAGCGCTCACTTGCCAGTTACTTTGGCTTTCTCTCTGGGACCTACACTCAATGGTGCCACACAGTCTGCACACCCTGGAAACCCAGCCCCTCTTTCTGGTTTATAGTCGGAAAAACCATTACCCTTAGAGATGCCTTGTTCACAGTATCGTTTTACAAATGACCAAATTTCCCACAATTAAAGAACCGAGCATTTTGAGGTATGAGACATTTAGTGGCTCAGTCACACTTTCTCAGCAAGTGGCCATGTTCCCCACAGTTGAACCACTACTCATTTTGAGATCTTGAGACAGAGAAGATGACATAAACTCCATTTTGTCTCCATTTTAGGACCAGGCCTGACTTTAAAAGAAAAAAAAAATGAGGCCATAGGTCATCAATTCCAGGAACAAGACAATGAAATTCCCTATCCAAGAAACAGCCTGAGGATAACCACAGGAATGGGATGGTATCTTATCTCGGGGCGGGGGGGATCTGTGCTGGGCAGCCTAATCTTATCTTGTAGTAAACATTCATGGCACAGGAAAATACCTAACATTCTTGAAGTCTCTAGATAGCTTGCTCCACATTAGTTATGTTAGTTAGCCAATCACTTTCTAACAAGCTTGCCCTCGCTAAATGTCACCCGATCCTGTAACTGCTAAGCTGGAAATTCCTGGTCCTTGCTCAAACCCCAATAAAAACCCTACCTTTCAGCTGCTCAGGCTCTCCTTTCTGATCCACTGCGCTGGTGACAGGTGAGGGTCCGAGGTTAAGCTCGAATAAAGCTATTTGCTCTTGCATATGTGGTCTGGCTCCTGATAGTCTTTGGGACCTAATAGCTGGGCATAACATGACCTCTAGCTATAGCTTGATCTATCATACTATCGTTGTACACATTAGGACCAATATTGGTCAGATCAGTTATTCATTTGTCCATAGAGGCTGCTTATGCCTTTAATGGTCTAATACAATTTTTACATTCAGTATTCTCATTTTCATATGCCGTGGTCTCTATCAACACCTGCCTTGCATCAGGGTCTAATATGGCTTTGTGCACAGCTGAGACTAATTTTTGTAAAAAAAAAAAAAAAAAAAAATCAGTGACAGATTCTCCAGAGCCTTGTACAATCTTTGTAAATATAAAATGGACTCTTTCCAGGACACCTCAACTTTGTCCTAAGCTCTTAAAGCTGATGAGACATTGTTCTATGTAATGTCATCAGATTGGATCTGTTCTTGTATCTCAGAGAACCTCCCTTTACCCAGCAACTGATCTTTTGCTGTATTCATTCCCCTTGCTCTGTTTTGCTGCTCAATATTCGTGGCTTCTTCCCTCCACCACGTTAATCATCGTAACTGCAGACAATTTTCTAGTACAGCAGTCACCAGCCCTTTCCAGTCTTGGGAAATAATTCTATTTTGAGTAGCTCAGTCAGCTATTTAGAATTTGTTTCACATAAGGTGAGTGCATCCCATATGAAATCATGGCCCTTTAAAAATGCCTTAGATCTGTCATATCTTTCTTTTTTTTCATATCTTTCTTTTTTTAAATATCTTTCTTTTTCATATTTGTTTCTTTTTCATATTTGTTTGTTTGTGAGACAGGGTTTCTCTGTGTAGCTGTGGCTGTTCTGGAACTCATTCTGTAGACCAGGCTGGCCTTGAACTTAGAGATCTGCCTGTCTTCCACTACCTGGGATCAAAGGTGTGTGCAACTACTGCCTGGCTAGATCTGTCATTTCTATAGGATGTCATCCTATCTCGTCCTAACCTTGTCTGACACCCTTAGCAGAAGAGTGCTGTACAGCTACGGGAAAAGCTGATGGTGATCATAATCCTAGGCCGTCCCCCTTCCAACCTGGTGGCGTGGCCCATTTGAGATCAACCCTTCTCTCAAAACAGGCTGTATTGTCAGACTGGCCTTCCACCTTTTCAGCTTTTCTCTGACCCGACCTGCCTCCGCTGCGGTTTCTTTCCCTTTCTCCTCTCTCACTCTTTTTGCTGTCGTAAGGACTGAGTCTTTTTAGTCTAACTTTTCAGGTGCTCTTCACTTCCACAGGACTTCCCCCTCCACCTGCAATGTTTTCACTACGAGGCCCTGCCTCAAATACAAAACAAAACCAAAAAAACAATGAGGAGCTTGTAGTCAAACTTTTGTCATTTTGGTTTCTTTAAAAAAAGAGAGAAAAGAAAAAAAAAGAGCACAGAAATATTACAAGGATATGCTTTCATTTTAATCCCAGGTGTGGGGAATGGGATGCTTAAGACTGTCCACAGCAACTATGATTTGCCTTGTGTTTCATCGGAGGCATGGCTTTGACAGTTGATCTGGCTTTGATAGTTTCTGCGAGTGTGTGACATTAGGAATTCTGAGAAATTTTCAAAGGGTGTATAAATGCTAGAGCCCCGATATGTGGGTTGCAGGTTGGTGGTCGGAGGCTGCTGGTTGCCACTGGTTATTGGTTGTTGTGGTTGTGGTTTGTTGAGTAGTCCTGCACAAACAAGAAACAGCAAGAACAAGAAAATACATTTTCTGACAGTGAAAATCAAACTTGCCCCGAGGAGCCTGGGACCTCTAACCAGCAGGAAGTAATCTAACTAGAATGACGTCCTTTCCCCCTCTAACCTTCTTCCACTCCTGTTAGAGTTAGGTGGTTGAAAGGGCAGAAGAAAGAAGAATACACAAGGCTGTAAAAGCCAGGTTACAGGGGCTAGAGAGCCAGTTCAGCCATGGAGAGCGCTGGCTACTCTTCCAGAGGCTCAATTCCTAGCACCCACATGACAGCTCACAGCCATTTGTTATTCCAGATGTCCAGGTGTAGGCTTAGATTTTTCACCAAACTTACTTTATTTGGGGTTTTTAAATATCTTTACCTCCCTTCCAATCCCTGACCTTAGATAGCAGAGTAGAAGGGAGAAGGGCTGTAGACCTCTCTTATCTACTTCCTACTGATTCAGATCGATGGGTCTTTAGATTACCACACTCATTCGTCAGGATACCAGCAGTCCAGTCCAAAGGCCAACACCAAGCAGCAACACGTGGTCAGTAAAAAGCTGCAAGACTGAGTTGGATTGTCCCGAGAAGTTCTGGAATGCTTCTCTCTGCAAAGTCGTGTGTCAAAGCAGGAAGATCAGCACAGCAATGTCAATTTAAAAATCAAAGCCTCACTGTCTGTGGGCCTCTCTATATCGCCTCCCCTCAGAGTCTACCCACAGCTGGCCAAAGTCACACACGCCCCTCGGTTGAGAAAGCTCACAGCCAAACATCATGTGCCCAGCTCGCATGACAAAACTGAGTCTTCAAAGAAACCGGAAACTTCCACTTCATCCAGATGCTGTCTTCTGGCTCCTGTGAGGACTGCATGCAGCTGGTGCAACAGAAAAACGCCCGGTTACCTAAATTATTCTCTCTCTCTCTCTCTCTCTCTCTCTCTCTCTCTCTCTCTCTCACACACACACACACACACACACACACACACACACACCAGGGGCCTGGAAATGACTTGGATAAAAGCACTTGCCACTGAGTCTGAGAACCTGAGTTCCGTTCCCAGGACCTACATGCTGCTGAGAGAGAGCTGGCCCACAAGCTCCTTCACTGACCTCGCCCTTTTGCTGCCCCCTGTCAGCAGGTGTTGGCTGGCGCTGTTTACTTTGCGTTCATTGGCCCCTGTGTTGTGTGTGTGTGCTGCAGGGTTGTGTGACGTATGTGTGGCAGCCTGAGGTGGAGGTCCAGTGTCGCCTTCACTCTCTCCACCTGTTTCTGCAGGCAAGATCTCTCAGGAGAGCCAGGGCCCGCACTTATGCTGGTCTAGCCTAGGCACTCGCTCCTCCAGGGCTTCCCAGTCTCAGCCTCCTGCCACCTTTGTGGTTGCTGTGGATTTGAACTCCTGAACACAGTGATTGCTCTGCCTGTAAACATCCATCTCCCCAGGCCCAGGATGTTTCCCACCATAGGCACCAGCGGGGACAAATGTCAACTGTCACTTTGACTGGACGTGAGAGCCCACCCGAGAATTCAAACAACTATAAAAGAAAAACAGCTGTGACTGCTCCCATCCTTGAATTAAAGCTAGAGGCACGCGGCAGGTCTGCAGCAGGGTGCTGCCAGTCCCTCCACACCGCCCTGTCACCACCAGATTCCAAAAGCGAAAGCCGTCCGTGGGCAGGAACTCGGAGCCGCCGAGCAACTCAGCCAGGCTCCACAGCCCTTCCTTTGCGGGCCTATGGGCCCCCTGATGGCGATGGAAACCAACCCCTTCAGTACTGGCCTTTTTCATCAGCCGATCTCTATAACTGGAAGGCCCCTAACCGCCCCCCTTTTCTGAAAATCCCCAAGCTCTAACTGATTTGTTTGAATCTGTCCTATTCTCACACCAGCCCACTTGGGATGATTGGCAGCAACTCTTGCAGGTCCTCCTCACTACCAAGGAATGGGGATGGTCCTTCTTGAGGCAAGAAAGAATGTGCCAGGAACGGACGGGAGACCCTCCGTCCTCCCTAATGAGATTGATGATGGCTTTCCCCTCACCCGCCCCAACTGGGATTACAACACAGCTGGAGGTAGGGAGCACCTGAAGGTCTACCGCCAGACTGTAATGGCGGGTCTCCGTGGGGCCACTCGAAAGCCCACCAATTTGACGAAGGTAAGAGAGACGGTTCAGGGGCCGGATGAATCTCTTGCAGCCTTTCTTGAATGGCTCATGGAGGCATATCGCTGGTTTATGCCCTATGAGCCTACCTCAGATGAGCATAAGGCAATGGTAACTATAACCTTTGTAGACCAGTCAGCCAGAGATATTCGTAGAAAGCTCCAGAAAATAGAGGGTTTGCACGACAAGTCGCTGAAGGATTTAGTGCAGGTAGCAGAGAAGGTTTTCTATAGCCGGGAGACAGAAAAACAGGAGGAGGAAAGGAAGCAGAAAGAGCAGGAAGAGAGAGAAAGAGAAAGGGATAACAGACAAGACAGAAAGTTGACTAAGATCCTGGCCACTGTAGTGCAGGAGAGTCGTAATGATAGGGGAGAGTTCCTGGCAATTGGAGGGGCCCTCTGTCTAAGGATCAGTGTGCCTATTGCAAGGAGAAAGGACACTGGATCGAGGATTGTCCTAAAAGGAAAAAAAAAAAAGCCAGAAAAACCAAATGCCTGAGCCCTGGAGACCCGGGTCCTAACCCTGGGTGATGACAGTGACTGGAGGGACGGGGTTTGGCCCCCCTCCCCGAGCCCAGGGTAACCCTTAAGGTGGAGGGGAAGTCAGCCCACTTCTTGGTGGACACTGGCGCCCAGCATTCTGTTCTCTTACAAGACTTTGGAGCTAAAAAGGGGAAGAAATCATGGGTCCAAGGAGCCACTGGATGTAAACAATACTCATGGACTACCCAAAGAACAGTGGGCCTTGGAGTGGGCCGGGTATCCCACTCATTCTTAGTTGTCCCCAAGTGCCCGTACCCACTGTTAGGGTGAGATATCCTAACTAAGATAGGGGTCCATATTCATTTTAGACCAGATGGCCCACAGGTGACAGACAATAAAGGGATCCCATTCAGGTGCTGACGATTCAACTGGAAGATGAATACTGCCTGTTTGAAAAGGTGGTAAGTCTGGAAAAAGACATTGACTGGTGGCTAGGGAGACATCCCAGGGCATGGGCTGAAACGGCTGGCCTAGGAAAAGCAGAGAGACAGCCCCCAGTTCAGATAGAGCTGAAGCCTCAGGCTACCCCGATCGCGGTGCGATAATATCCAATGTCTAAGGAAGCCCGTGACGGGATCCACATACAGCGGCTCCTTGACCTAGGGGTGCTCAAAAGGTGCCAATCCGCCTGGAATACTCCACAGCTGCCAGTTCGGAAGCCGGGGAGCAACGACTATCACCGTACAGGACTTGAGGGAAGTTAACAAACAGGTCACGGACTTACACCCTACAGTGCCCAAGCCGTATAACCTGTTGAGTTCCCTTCCCCCTGACAGGGTTTGGTTTACAGTCCTGGACCTTAAGGAAGAGACCGGTGGCCTATCTGTCCAAAAAGCTTGAGTCAGTAGCGGCAGGATGGCCAAGCTGCCTGCGAATAGTAGCGGCAGTGGTGGCACTGGTAAAAGATGCAGACAAACTGGCTCTGGGCCAGGACCTCACCCTCTGTGCTCCTCATGCCCTTGAGAGTATCATAAGGCAGCCACCTGATCGCTGGCTCAACGTGGCCTATAGGAGGCTAAAGCAGCTGCTAGAGTGGCCCGTCCCTCGGGCTAGTCAAACAGGGTCCACCTGAAAGAGGGAGTGGAAATTGGGGGACAGAGACGCGAAGAATGGAGACAAGGCAGATTCCTGATCAAGTCTCCGTTTACTGAACGTGCAAACACTTATAAAGCAAAGGGCACAAGCAAATTTTTCTCACAGGAGCTACACATGTGTGCCACCTGGCGAGGCATGCCGGAATTCACTCAAGGTCACACAAAGTCTGCCGTCTGGTTCCCAAGGTTGCAGGGAGCTTGCTATCTATTTCTCAGGCTCAGAGCAACCCGCCTGCAGAGACCACCAAGGACAGTCTCTGAGAAATGGAACTATGGATAAGACCTGCATCTGTCAAGGCCAGGAGGCAGAATTCCCATTACCAGACTCCTTCACTAGAGGAAACTCTGTCCCAGTGGTACTAACCGCTGAACTGCCCAGAGAAGAACGACTAAACTACTCAGAAAGTGACTTAAAGCTAATACGGCAAAAACAGGGGATATTTGACACCGATGTGGGGGCATGGATTGACTCCAAAGGTAAGATCATTGTACCACAGGAAGACACTGAGAGATTAATAACTCAGATGCATAAGTGGACTCACTTGGGGGCAAAGAAATTGGCTGAAGTTGCCCGCCGATCCCAGTACCGAATACTAAACCTCACCGCCCTGACTGAGAGAGTGACTAGGGTGTGTGAACCTTGTCAGAGGGTAAATATAGGTAAGAGTTTCCAGAGCCCAGGGAAGCGGCTGAAAGGAACTGGACCCAGAATGCATTGGGAAATGGATTTCACTGAAATTAAACCAGCCAGGTACGGCAATAAATACCTCCTGGTTTTTGTGGGCACTTTCTCAGGATGGATGGAAGCTTTTCCCACAAAGAAAGAAACCGCCCTGGTCGTGGCCAAAAAGATTCTGGAAGACATTTTTCCTCGGTTCGGTATTCCAAAGGTAATTGGGTCAGACAATGGGCCAGCCTTCGTCGCTCAGGTAAGTCAGGAGGTGGCCAGGTTTCTGGGGCTCGATTGGAAGTTACATTGTGCTTATAGACCCCAAAGTTCAGGACAGGTAGAAAGAATGAATAGAACCCTAAAAGAGACTCTCACCAAATTGACCATGGAGACTGGCGGTGACTAGGTGGTGCTCCTTCCCTTGGCCCTCTTTAGAGTCAGAAATACTCCCTCCCTACTAGGCTTAACTCCCTTTGAACTACTCTATGGGCTTCCTGCTCCCCTGACTCTTTTTGGGGACCCCTTGACATAGCTAGTGGTAACTCTGACTTGTCCAGGCTGAAAGGACTGCAGCTTATTCAGAAAGAAATTTGGAGCAAGGTTGGCAGTGTATATGTGCCTGGGTCCTTGGAGGTGCCCCATCAGTTCCGGGTTGGAGATCTGGTGTACGTGCGACGACACCGCAGCCAGAATCTGGAACCTCCGTGGAAGGGTCCTTATTACGTCCTGCTCACCACCCCAACTGCCGTCAAAGTAGAGGGCATCGCAGCTTGGATTCACGCGTCACACGTCAAGCCTGCTCTTCATCAACCTGCAGACACCTGGAAAGTCCAAGCCTCCAGCAACCCGCTAAAACTGAAACTCATCAGGGACAATGAACTCTCCGACCAGTAAAGTGGACAAACAATGGTACCTCTGGGTGGTGCTGTTTGTACTTAATTGGGTAACTATTGACAGGAGCTTTGGCGATCCTCACCAGGCTCGCAAGGCCCTGGAAGCAATGTCTGCTAAACCCTGTGATTGCAAGGGTGGGGTGATGAATGGCAGAGCCTTACTAAATGGTGAGATTTGGGGGTCCAGCGAGGTCTATGCGCAAGTTGAGTGTGGCGCTACATGGGCATATAGAGCCCTACAACCTTCAGGGAGCACCCCAAGTTTAGAATGGCATTGTGTAACCAAGCCTAAAATGGTTTCTCATGCAAATGGGCGCCCTGGGCCTTGCCCTTGTGGTACCTATCAACAGGCTGTGCATAGCGGTTGCTCTGGGGTTGTGCAACAAGGTACTGGAAAAGATAACATCACCTATTTCACTGCCATATTGAACCAAGTCAGGGGGGCCATGGGGATAGGCGATTGGTCCCACAACGTGCCAACAGGAGGCCATGGATCTCAATTACCCCAAGCC